ACCTTTTAAGATTTAATATTGTTCATTTTTATAAAATTAAGTCCAGTATTTTTAAATTAATAATTATATGTTACAAATCATTTTAGTACTTTTAATTTATTTTCAGGAATTAATTTACTATTTTTTATAAAATAAATAAAAAAAATGGCTATTTAAAATCTAGCCAGATTTCATTTAAATTGGAGCCTAATTCTTACCCAATTTAAATCCAATTGCCCTGGCCCAATTCCTACTCATACCCGACCCCCAACCCAATTAAAACGACCCATACTCAGATCCCCACCTAACCTTTTAAATCCCAGTCGTTGATCATTTAGATCAACAGCCACATGTTGCCCTTACCTTAATTAATCCCAAATGACCCACCCCAAACCCTTTCATTTGTTACCATACGCCGCCTCTGAATCCATCCTCTCCCAAATCCTCTATACAACACCCTCAAACCCTAGCCGCCGCCACCCTAATCCACTCTAATCCATGGCCTTCCGAGGTCATCAAAGACCTATACCAGCCTTCCAGGGCTTCTATGTGTTTGGTTCTGTGGTCTCATGACGAGACTCTGAAGAGATTTGGTCCAGTCTTTGCTCGATGACTCTTCTCCGGTCATCCCTGACCTTTCTCCGGCCAGCCATGGCCATTCAAGTCACACCTTTGACTCTCCTGGTTAGATTTGTTACTTTCAAGGCCTTTCTCGTTGCTTTTAGGTTCTTCTGAAGTCCTAATCTCTAAGACCTTTTCGACTTCTTTCAGATCTACCTTAGACTCATGCTTACCATGAGTTTTTAAACATCTTCTCGAAGCTTCTTTAACTTTACTTAAAAAAAAAGACTCTCCAGCTTTTCCGATTAGGGTTTTTCCTTCAAGTTTTCTTTTCAAAATCTTTTCATCTGATTTTAATGTGTCTGTGGTTTTACTATGTTTTGTTCATGTTATTCTCCTATCTTAGTAGCAAATTGAAAACCCTAGTTACTTTGGGTTCATTCGAGTTCTGAAACTGTTTGTTAGATAAGTGTTTGTCTGGTTAAGTTCTTGTTCGATTTATTTGATTATCATCTTTTAAGCTTGATTATTGTTGAAGGAACCTATGTCTTTGGTTTTGAAACTGTTCGTTTGAACACCTGACTCGACTTGTGGTTCCTTGTTTATGAATCTCTTTTCTTTATGTGATTTCTCTAATTCTGGGGTTTTACTATCTTTAAAACTTGACTATGCCTGAAACCCTAACTTTTCAAAGGGTTTCTCATCTGCTATTGTGAGACCCTTTGCATGCTTCTGATACTCCATTTTTTTATCTGCTACTGTGAGACCCTTTGCATGCTTCCGATACTCTATTTTTTTTCTCTTCACTATTGATTCAATGTGACTCGACCTATTGGACTATCATGCTTTGAATGTTTGTTATATACTGAACTTTGTGCTACTATTGCATGCTGTTTCTTTTGCCAATACATTTGGCTACACATATCTAGTGTTTGTGCACTCTATTTATATGCTGAGGTTCCTTCTTTGATTGATCTTCAATCTTGGGACTGATTTGAAACTTTTTTTTTGTGAAACTCTAATTTCACTCGCCTGCTAAAGTTAATTGATTCTTTCCTTGTTTTTGCTTTACTGAATCTTTTCTCGAAATAAGTGTATTTCTGTACTTAGACTCAACTGCTTACTTAATATTTTACTACTTCTTTTATGGCAATAATCAGTCTGCTTACAAACTGATTTTCTTTCCTTATTTTGAATCTGTTAGCCCCGTTAAACAAGTGATTCCTCAATTAATGGGAAATCATTTGGCTGATTGATTCTGACTGTTGGTTATTTCTATGTTTGTATTGAACTTTACTTATTACCTTATTTCTCACATGTTTTCAAAAGTTTATAAATACCCTGCACCCCTCTTCTTTCAAGGACACGAACTACTTGAGTTCAAAAAACACACTTCACTCAAACTCCCTCTCTCTTTTTCTTTGTTACTGCTTGTGTTGCTGCCTTGTCTAGCCGGCTGAAAGCCAAGGCTAGGCTGTAGGAACTTGCTCACTTTTCTTTCTGCATTTATATGTTCTGATTAACTTTCCTGCATCAATAACAACATGTTTATTTACTATTTCCTCACTCTTGCCTATTTCTGTTTGTGTTTTAATCAAGTTGCATTGTTAAGCATGTCACAATCTGCCCCTTCTTTTTCTGAATTCTTGTTTCCCCTATGTATGAACTCTATCAGTCATTTATGAACCCCAAACACCCTATATCCCCTATGTGTTTGTATTCCTTGGTTGGTTTGAGGGCATGCCAGCAGTATACATTACTGTGCATGACCCAAACCTGACCCTCCCTGATCACATACTTCATATTCTCTTTATGTATGTATCCTCTGGCTGGTTTATGGGCATACCAGCATCACTTATTGCTATGCATGTCCAGATTTTTGACCCCTCTTAGGGTCATAAGCCACCTGCAATGTATTCTCAAACCCCTGCCACCTTTGTGTTATTTCTGATGCTGTATAATTTTAGCTTTTACTACTACTGCTTTCTAAACTGCCCCTCTCCCCTCTACAATCTTCACTCAGTTTTAAATCTCTACTCCTGTACTTCCACCATATTCTTAGACTTAGGTTCTGCCCCCTCTTCTATGAGCCTTGCCTTGGGACCCATGAGCTTCTTCTGAACTTGGACACATAAGGGCTGGCCCTTCCACACTTCACTCATCTATATCTGGTTATGCAACTTGGGTGTGAGCACTACCCGGGGTCCTCTTGAGACCCTTAGGGGACTTTGACACACTCAAGTCTGAGAAAGGTTTTGAAACAATGGCATTTTATGTATTTTATTCCATAACTCAGAGAGGAAGTCAAGAATCAGGCTTCCTTTGGTTGTCACTTTTGTTTTATACTTCTTTGATGTGATTTATTATTCAGTTCGTAATAATTTGTAATAAACATTGGGGTTGGCTAGTGAAAAAGGTTGGGTAATTATGCATTCTTAAGGGTAGAAATCATGCCTATAAGATCTGTTGTTTTAAAATTCTTCATATATAACTCTCCATTTAGGTATCATGCTTATAAGATCCATTTGTTTAAACTATGCATGTTAATTCTGCATTTAGATACCATGTCTATAAGACCTGTTTTCACTAAAATTCTGCACGTTCTACATCTAGGGAACCTGCCTATAGGACTTGCTTAAATTCTGCATGTTATTGTCACATTTAGACACCATGTTCTTATGATCTAAATGGTTAGAATCAGATATAATGTCTATAAGGATAAGAACCAGCACCTTTTTTTTTTAGAAATCATGTCTATAGGAATAAAAGGCGCAATACTAGATATCCTGCCTATAGGATTTAAAATCAGTTGGACTCTGAACCAGTTTTAACGACCTTACTCCTTTATTTAACGCAGTTTAGAGAGCATGCCTATAAGATTTCCAAATCGTTCTTTCAAAACTGTTATTACTTTTCCACATGCTGAATCAATAGTAGATACCATGTTCATAGGATCTCACCCCAAACGCTTAGGAAAGCTTTAGGTGATAATAAAAAAAAAGGATCCGTCTCTGTTAAGTGATAATTGCTACAACCAGCAGACATGCCTGATTCGGACTTCTTATTTGAGTTATGTAATAAATTGGTCTGCCTCAACAATTGAAACTTCCCTTTACCTTAGTATGTTAAATTCAGACCTTAGATGTATGTTTAAGTCATGCTATTTATGTGCTTTGTTTGAGGAGGTATACATGAGCCTTTTATTTGTTTACATGCTTCCCCTAACATGCAGTATTATGTGTTTTGTATGTCGTCTTAGATTTTTACCTTTTGAAATCCAAGTCAGCCTAATATCCCTCCCCTTTAGGAATAGTAGTCCTAAGTTCCTCTGGACTGATAGGAATGGGACGGGTAATAGCATACAATAGAGATCGATACCAATCAGCGCTTTAATGGGAAGGGTAGATATGGATAGGATGACCAATGCGCTAATACCATGTGTATCCCCTCTTTTGAGGAGTGTCATACCGGGTATCGCATTGATGTGATCCATATCGAATATAAACCTAGGACCCCCTTTCCCTTTTATTTGCAAATTTCTTTTCGAAACTCTTCTTTTAATTGTTCTTTCGAACTCTTATGTGTTTAAATTTAAATCCCCTACTATTTGAGCATGTAATTGTCTATTTGCTAAATTGCACAAATTCACAAGAAATTATCTGGCCGGGAACCACACTAGTGGATCTTGAGGGGTGCCTAATATCATCCCCTTAAGATAATTTCAAGCTCTTACCCTATCTTTGGTTATCAACCAACCTAGAAGTGAACCCTTATAGGTGTCCTAATGCACCTTAAAATCATTAGCTGACGACTTTTCAAATGCAAAACCTAATTCCCAAAAGAAATGAGTTGTCCTATGCCCAAAATGTCATAAACCCGATCTTCCGATTGCATAAGATTGAAAAAGGGGGTGCGCCATCAATATGAAAATTGAAACTGATTGTATGGACGTTATCAAACTTATTTATAAGGATAACACTAACTACTCTAATATTGTTTCTGAGTGCAGATAGTTAATACACCAATTGAAACTCCCACAACTGAAGCATAATTTCAGGGAAGTCAATGAGGTGACTCATCTACTGGCCAAGCAAGCTACCAAGAATCCACCATCATCCAAGTATTTTTACCATGCCTGTCCACCTTTTTTTGTTGAACAAGAAGTGATCAAGAACAAGCATGGAGTTTGTAATAGTGTTAGGAGTATTTCCAAAAATGTTTGTAACTATTTGGCAACTATGGGTAATAGTAATGCCCTAAAAACATCTACTATGCCTANAATATATATATATATATATATATATATATATATATATATATATAATATCCAAGTATTGTGTTAAAAAAAAAAGAAAACATTATGATTTGGAGGAAGCATACAGGGAGTAGCCACTTAATTCTAGGTATTGTAAGAGTGAGGATTACTTGAATGGTGACAAAAGGGCAAGGGCAAGATGCAATTATCCAAAGTGGTATTGCCATGGCATTTTTTCAGAGCTTTCTACATTCAGACTAGAGCTGCTTCCTTGTGAATGTGGTGGAACCACTACTGTCGAAAGGTTATTCCTGCAAGAAATTTGTCAAATATAGCAATGGAAAAGGGAACCACAAAAAAAAAAAAAAAAAAAAAAAAAAAAATATCCAAGTAATAGCTTTAAGAGTTTCGAGTATGGTTATATGTATTAGTAGTACTTACCGTTTATTACTAATAAGCTTAAGTATTCTCTTGGTTCTAGTTAGAACTGTGGTAAATATAATGGGTAATAATTAGATGTATCTATCAGTATTGAACTTTTGAGCAATTAAGGGATCTGCATGTTTTCACTTGACTAGATTTGGTCTTAATTAACTTCAAATAGTTGTGATTCCATGTATGGTAAAACATTGGACCGAGAGTGAACAGAGTAATATTACTTTGAAAGCTACAAATCTTTGGCATTATCATTATCAAGCAATAGTTGAAAGAAAAGAATAGGACCTAAATATACCTCTCAGAAGTTCCACAGATGACAGATGAGTCGAAAAATTGTGGTTGATTAAGAGCATTGTCATAAGCCAACAAAACCGCTTCACTCTCCTCTTTCTCTTGTCTTCTCTTTGGAACTTATAAGGTTCATCTTCACAAAAGAATATTTAACAAAAAAAGAATTATTGTCCGCCGTATTTAAACCAGAGCTTGTATATTAAAGAAAATCACCTTTTTAACACCAAGCAGATTACCGGTAAAATAGCCCGTTAGTAATATTGTCTGCTTTGGGTCTAGACCCTCACGGGTTTAAAACATATCACTAGGGTCAAGTCTTGTTAACTTATGTATCCAACATCCCTCTTATATTTTGCCGATGTGGAACTCTGTCTAAGGTTTGGGATGTTACATATACCCCCTCTTATAGACTCAGCATCCATGCTGAGGTTTGCTCCACCCATGAAATTCGCTTAGACTCAGCACTGATATTTGACCCACATAACCGGAATTTGCCTAAACTCAGCTGAACTCTAACCCACCATCGGCAAGGCGTCAAGTAACTTTGATACCATCTGTAATAGCCCAACCGCTAGTGATATTGTCCGCTCTGGGCCTAGACCCTCAAGGTTTAAAACACATTACTAGGATTTATATATCCAACATCCCTCTTGTGTTTTGCCGATATGGACTCTGTCTAAAGTCTGGAGTATTACATAATGCGGCATAAACTTTACACTTGCGAAGCTTGCTCTCTTTGCAAATGCGACTAAAATGTCACAAATACAAACCTACCCAGAATGGCATACACTTCGTAATTGCGAATGGGGCATCGCAACTGCGATAACTAACCCTCACCTATACACTTCGCAATAATTGCGAGGTTGGTGCTCGCAATTGCGACATCAGAGATACCAGCAACCTGTTTTTAGTCCAAACCTTTTCAAAATACGTTTGAAGCCCTCGGGGCTCCAAACCAAACATCCACACAAGTCTAGAAACCTCATACGAACTCGCTCGCACGATCAAAATATAAAAATAACATCTAGAACTACAAATCGGACATCAAAACACATGAATTTCAAAGAAAAGTTTAAAAATCTCTAAAATTGCAACCAAGCGTCCGAATCCTATCAAATCAACTACAACGACACCAAATTTTGCAAACGAGTTTCAAATAGCAAAATGGACATATTCCAAGTCCCAAAATCAAATTCCGAACTCGATAGACAAAAGTCAACCTACGGTCATACTTGAAAAAATTTCTACACCTCAAATTGCCAACTTTCGGCAAAACAACACAAATCAACCTACGAATCTCTGAATCAATTCGAGGCATATGACCAAGTTTTAAATCATGATACAAACCTATGAGAGCTATCAAAGCATCGTTCCTGGGTGTTTTTCACGAAAGTCAAACTTTGGTCAATATTTCTAACTTAAGCTTCTAAACCAAGAACCAAAGGATCCAAATCAACCGAAAACCTTTCCGAAACGAAATTAACCAACTCCGCAAGTTATAAAACCACAAATACACTTGTATGAAGCATCAAAAGGAAAAATAGGATGCAAATACACAAAACGACCGGTCATCGTTACATATATACACCTAGAAATATTAACTATACATGGTTGTAAAACCAATCACACTACTAGAAATTAGGAAAAAATCGTTCAAAAAAAATGACCAAAGTAGGTCGGCAATGGCCAATACCCTTCCAAAAATGCGACCATTAATGTGTAGTCGGTATTTTGAAGGTAGGAAGGGCATACTGACCAAAGTTGGTCCAAAATTACCTACCAACTTTGGTCGGTCAATTAAATTCAAAAAAAAAAGATAATTGCCAAAAAAACCGAAAAAAGTCGGTCGGTATTTTAATTATGTAATTAAAAAATGCACCATCTGGGAATCAAACTGCAGCCTGTACTGTGGCAGGATACTATTTTACCACCAGATCATTGGTGCATTTTATTTCAAGACTTTCTTTTATTTCATTTATACTCTTTAATTGTATATTCGCACGAATATAACCGACCAATGTCGGTCGATTTTATTAAAAAATAAAATTACCCACCGAATTCGGTCGGTTTTTAAAATGACTGGCCGAATTAACCGACTGCTTACGGTCGGTTTTTTAATATTAAATTTAATTTATTTTAAATGAAAAACCGTTCAAAGTTGGTCGATTTCTTGAAAAATAAATTTTGCGGGACTCAAAAATAGTTTTCCACCACGCCAAGGAAAACCGACCAAAGTTAATCTATTTTGTAAAAAAAATTAAAAATAAAATATTTTGAAAAACTAACCGACTTTGGTCAGTTTTTGTCCCGTTTTTTGACCGACCAAAATCGACCTTGATCGAATTTTGCCGAATTTATAGTAGTGTCATACTCACATATAATCGAGGAATAAGAAGAAGATGATGACAAATGACACAATATAATTAATTAAATACATAGCTTGAGACATATGTGCTTTAGTAATGCGTACCTTTCTCTGAAGGACGGAATGTAAGAGGCTCTCAAGTTGTTTCTCACATGCTTCTACCTCTTCCATTGATGTCATCTTCATAGGATCTGGCTCACACATACTGCATTTTGTGTTTCTAATTAAGCCAAGAAGATGAAACCACCTCAACCCATCCCCCCACAAAAGGAAAAAGTCACTACATATTAGTTACCTTTATATTTTTCTCCATAACATAATTATAACACCTTATATTAGTATTAATTTGTGTGGAAAGAAAATAGTACCACTATGATAAATGTGACATTTAGCTACGAGATTATTAGTCATGAAAAATCCGATAATAATACATTTTATTTTAATTTCACTAATTGAAAAATCTATTGGTCTTCTTATATATAGATTATAGACCAAGAAGATATTCATCCATGACCGGTCTTAACTTCTATTAGAAGGTTGGCTTTCAATGGACGCATTCTTTCATGAAACATCACAACATATCAAAACATAACACTTTTCATAAAAGAAGAAAGACGTAACTATTTTGAAAAGGTACGATCGAGACCGTAAGCGTAGGAAAAACTGTTTTTTATAATAGGATGTCCTCTTTTTGTTAAGTTACCTGCTGTTATTCGTAGCAGATTTTGTAAGTTTTTGTAATCTTTTTTATAGATAAGGTTTACATAAGGAGGTAAACTGGGATAGCTGATCTATCTCTCTGTTGTAACTGATTTTTTGGATGAATGAAAGGAATGCGCAACCTATGTCGTAACTTTATTTTAAAAGAAGACTGTTGAACGTGTATTTTCAACATTGGTATGAAATTTGCTAACTACATGCACCACTAACAAAAGATATACTATAGAAATTGATGAACCTTAATTTTTCCTCAGCTACGTGGATTTGTTGCAGCAGAGCATTAATCTTCTGCCTGAGTTCCTGAGGAACGATTAACATAGAAAATCTTCATATTTTGGAAACCTATATTCCCGTTCTAATTGGGTAAAAATTTAAAGTAGTTTAAGATAATTTGATATATTATATTGAAGACTGATTAAGGAGAAGATATGTAGTGTACTATTCATTCGTTCATATATACCTGATGAATTTGGCTGCTGGTGGAGGCAGCAGCTGGATCGGTTCCATGCATCATCCTTAACATACAATTAGTTTTCCGAACCATCAAGAATTTTATAGTGAAACGGTAATGAAGGTCTCTCTCTCTCTGTAAATATTTATGTGTATATTAAGATGTCGGGAGGGGTATATCATATATGGGGGGTGAAGAAAGACAATTCTAACCTGAGAAGGTTCTGGCTTCTCATCACCTGCTGCTTGAAGATAAAAGTTAAATTATTTTACCCAGCATGAAAGGAAAGCAAAGCAAATAAACAAAACTAGTGAAGATCACAAAAAGTGGAAACATAAACATTATCTAACATGGAGGAGAGTATAAAAGTACTACTCAAATCACTATACGTCTTTCAGATTATTATGGTCTAATTCGTGAAACTTTTGTATAACTCAGTTTAGTTATAAATTGTGTTTAAAAAAGATGACGGTACTCGTTCATTAAAAAGAGAGTTAAGGAAAAAAAAAAAAAAAAAAGGAAAGGGGGTTATCTGAAAGTTCTTTATGATAATTATATTCTAAATATTATCTCGACTCCTTCACGACCCGATAAGTCGTTTTGAGTACTAGCCATAATTTTCATGTCTCGAGACCTCTCATAGCTTCATATAATTTTTTTTGATTTGCGTGCATGATCCGTATCATTTTCTGGAATGCTTTTACGTATAATTTTGAAGAAAAAGTGATTTTTGGCTTAAAATAAGGCTAAAGTTGACCATGGTCAACATTTGTGGTAAACGATCCCGGATCGGTATTTTAACGATTCCGGTGGGTTCATATGACTTTTTGGACTTGTACGTATATTTGATTGGGTCCGGGGGTGACCCGAGTGTGTTTCAGCGCATTTCGTGAAAGATTGTGAAAAATGAGTTTCAAGTTGAAATCTTACGTTTTGATGATTGATTCTTGTTATTTGATGTTATTTTAATGATTTGAGGTAGCGACCAAATTTATATGATGTTATTACACCTGTGTGCATGTTTGGATTGGATCCTGGAGGCTCGGGTGAGTTTCGGATTAGTTTCAGACCATTTTTGGACTTGTTGAATTGCTAGTTTTTCTTCTGGTGCATCTATGCTTCGCGATCGCGAAGCAACTATCACGATCACAAGGGTGAAGGTTGGGGCTGGGCTGGTTGTTCTATGCGAACGCGAGGGTAGTCTTGGGAACACGAGTGTAAGCTCGCGAATGTGAAGGCGTGGAGATTGATCCTTTCGTGAACGCGGCAGATCCCACGCGAAAGTGTAGTGTTGGGGAAAGTCTGGGGAAAACAGGTGGTCTTTCATCGCAAAGCGACGCATGGGACGTGAACGCGGAGGCTTTGCTGGAAAATGCTTTCGCGAATGCGATGAAGACCTCGCGAACGTGAAGGCCAACAGACCTGTGCACTTCGCGAACGCAGCAGGTGCTATGCAAATACGAAGAATACCTGACGCCCAGTTGAATAAAAGCTGAAAGTCGCGATTTCATTGTTCTTCACCATTTTTTAAACATAGAGCTCGAACCAGAGAGAATTTTGAAGAGATTTTCATTTCAAATTTATTGGTACGTGATTTTCAATTAGTTTTGATGTATTTCCATAATCTCCCATAGATTTTTAACCTTAAATTTAGTAATTTCAAAGTAGAAATTGAGGATTTATGGTAGAATTTAGGAAAATGATAAAATTGAGATTTAGATCTTGAATTGAGGTTGGATTTTGAAACAAATCACATAACCGAACTCAGGGGTGAATGAATAATTGAATTTTTATCTAAATCTCGGAATTTGACAAAGCAGGCCGGGAGTTGACTTTTATTGACATTTTCAATTTGGTTAAAGATTGAACATTTTTCACTCAGCTAGATTTGATTGGTTTGGAGGCTTATTCTCAAGGAAAAACCGCAGTTGATCATTGATTTGGTTGCAAAAAGATGTAAGTGTCGTGGTTAACTTTGACTAGAGGGAATTAGGACATATTTAATTTATTTGCTACGTGAATTATGTGTGGGGATGACGTATATGCAAGGTGATGAATATATATATATATGTCGTTATGGGTTAAAGCATGTGATTTTAATTTGTCTTTTTTGTGCCATGTTGTTTAATTCATTATGCTTTTTATACCTTAGTTAAATTATTTATTCATTAATTGATCGCTTCTGTGTTCATTGCTTATGTCGAAATTGTTGTGATATCGAAAGTTGAGCTTGCATGTTCTAGCAACATTGTTGGGGTTGAAAATTTCTTTCCACATTGTTCAATACTTGAGTTGTTATTGTTACTTGGTGAGGAAGAGTCAAAACCACGAAGGGTGATGTCGTACTATGTTTGCATATTGCTATCATTGATTGAGTGAATGTGAGGTAAAAGCACGAAGGGTGATGCCGTACATATGCATTTCTATTATGATCACGTGAAGATGAAGGTAAAAGCACGAAGGGTGATGCCGTGCACCTGTATTTATTATTATTTGGTGAGGATGAGAGTAAAAACACGAAGGGTGATGCCGTGCGAGTTTATTGATTTCATTGTTTTACTTGATATTTGATGGTGTGAATCATGACTTGGTAGTTTCGTTTCCCGCGTTGGAAAGAGGTTATTTCATGATTCCTTATTTACTATTTGATTCCATTGCCCCAATACATGTTCCTAGTCTATTGTTTCATNTATATATATTATAACGGTATATGTTTATTGTAGGTGTCTTGCCTTAGCCTCGTTACTACCTCGTCGAGGTTAGACTCGACACTTACTGAGTACATTAGATCGGTTGTAATCATACTACACTTCTGCACCTTTTGTGCAGATTCTGGTTTGGCCCCAGTAGTGTCTAGCAGAGGCTTACTCGGATCATATTTGTTCAGGAGGCTTGAGGTACGGTTGCACGATGTCTGCAGTCTCTGAAGTTCTCTTCCTTATTTAGCTTACTGTCTACCTTTTTCGAAAAGTTGTACTTTGTTTCAGACTATATTTGTAGTATTTTAGTCGCTCATGTACTTGTGATTCTGAGTTTTGGGATTAATATGGACTGCATTATTTATGGAGTTGTTTTATGTATCTCAGAGCATTTTAGTCATTTATTTTTAATATTTTGCTTTTAAATTGTTAAAATCACTTGAAACAGCTTTATGAGGACCTACAGAATTTCTTGGACCGTTGCCATGAGGTACTGCACAACATGGGTATAATGGAGTCCAATGGAGTTAACTTGACAGTGTTTCATATGCATGGCTCCGCCAAGAGATGGTGGCAGGAGTATGTTTGGGGCAGACTATCAGGTTCACCTCTTCTCACTTGGTCTCATTTCTCACATCTATTATTGGAGAAGTTCATACCCATCACTCAAAGGGAGGATCTACATAGCCAGTTTGAGTGCCTACAGTAGGGAAGCATAATCGTTACCTAGTAAGAGATTAAATATGTGGACCTATCATTCCATGGAGCTATTCAAATCCCTACTGAGAGTGAGAGAGTACGGAGGCTTATAGATGGCCTTATTTACAGCATCATATTACAAATGGCTAAAGAGACTGAGGATGATATTTGGTTCACACGGGTTGTATAGATTGCTAGGCGAATCGAGAGGTTCGTAGTTAGGGTAAAGAGGCAGCATCTAAGAAGAGGCCTCGTAACTTTGGTGGTATCAGTGGTGCCTCGTCTGAAGGAAAGTGTTCATTTGGTAGAGCCCATCCCATTAGGCTGATTTAGTCAATGTTTCAGGTATTGCACGGTGCTTCGGGTAGTTGTGATTCTTATGGGTCTCATCCTGAGCAACTAGAATACAGTTAACCTTCAACGCAGGTCAGTGCACATCCGATTCAGAGTTATCAAGGTGGTTAATCTGGTCGACAGATCAATTACAAGGTCAGCAATCACATCAGCCGAGGGCTTGTTATACTTGTGGAGATCCGACGCACATATCGAGGTTTTGTCCCAAGTCACAGAGCAACATGCCACAATAGAGTACTCATGCCATGGTTCCGGTACCGGTTACTCCACCGCCGCTCAACCAGCTAGAGGTGGGGTTCAGGCAGTCCAAGGTGGTATTCATGCTGTTAGAGGTGGAGGCCAGGCAATGAGAGGCTGTCCTAGAGGTGGAGGTCAGATTGGTAGGGCTCAACCTTGTTGTTATGCATTCCCAGATAGACCTAAAATAGAGTCATATGATGTAGTTATTACAGCTACTATCTTAATCTGTCATAGAGATGCTTTCGTCTTTTTTTATCCGAGTTCTACCTATTCTTATGTGTCCTCGTATTTTGTTTCTCATCTGAGTATGCCTCATAATTCTCTTTTTATTCCTATTTCTATGTCTACACCGGTTAGAGATTCTATAATAGTTGATCGGTTGTATAGGTCTTGTGTTGTTACATTTCATGGTTATGATACCATGGTTGATCTTTTATTTTTTTGATACGGTGGATTTTGAGGTTATTCTTGATATGGATTGGTTGTCCATGTGTCATGCTATCTTTGATTATCATGCCAAGACTGTGACATTAGCTATGCTACGCTTGCCCAGATTAGAGTAGAGAGGGAGCCATGGTCATGCTACTAGTAGGGTGGTTTCATATATGAAGGCTCAGTGTATGGTCAAGAAGGGGTGTCTGGCATATTTGGCCTATATTCGTGATTCCAGTGCAGAGGTTCCTTCTATGGATTTGGTTCCAATTGTGTATGAGTTCACAGAGGTGTTTCCTACAGATTTGTTGGGTATACCACCCGATAGAGATATCGACTTTTACATCGACTCGGTTCTGGGAACTCAGCCTATTTTTGTTCCACCATACCATATGGCTCTAGTTGAGTTGAAAGAATTGAAGAAATAGTTGTAGGATTTGCTTGACAAGGGATTTATTAGACCTAGTGTCTTGCCCTAGGGTGCACCAATGTTGTTTGTGAAGAAGAAGGATTAATTGATGAGGATGTGCATTGTTTATCAACAGCTGAACAAGGCCACTATCAAAAACAAGTATTGTCGAGCATTGACGACTTAGTTGATTAGCTTCAGGTTACCAAGATGTTTTCAATGATTGATTG